GTCTAGCGGTGTTAAATCACAAGATCTTGGAGGTCAATTCACAGGTCCAAAACGTGAAATTAGGCGGTCACCAAACGTGTCTTTCAATAAATGGATTGTGGCACGAGCTGTGTGACATGTTGCGCCGTCTTGTTTAAACCACATCTTCTGGACATCATGCTTATTCAATTCAGGAATGAAAGAGTTAGTAATCATAGCTCTATACCGATCACCATTGACTGTAACGTTCTGGCCATCATCGTTTTTGAAGAAGTACGGACCAATGATTCCATCAGCCCATAAAGCGCACCAGTCAGTTTTTCTGGATTAACGGTGTTTCGACATACACTTGAGGATTAGCTTCGCTCCAAATGCGGCAGTTTTAGTTTTGTTTGTTGTTGTAGCCATTCAACCAGAAATGCGCTTCATCGCTAAACAAAACTCCCTTATGAAAATCGGGAACAACGGCAATCTCGTTTTGGCCCCATTCGACGAATCTACGCCTTACTTGATGATCGTTTGGCTTCAATTCTTGCACGAGTTGGATTTTGTAAACACGTAAACCAAGATCCTTCCGCAAAATCTTCCAAAGAGTGGATGGACACAGATCCAATTCCTGTGTTCGATGGCGGATGGACTCAATAGCAATAGCTTCTTCTGTACGCACCGAACGGCGTCTCTGGGGATGCGAGTTATCAATAAGAGTAAACGTGGTGCGAACACGTTCTATGGTTAATCGAATTAACTGCTCTGATGGACGATTTTGTCGACGATAAAATGGACGTAGTGCGCGATACGTATTCCGCACAGAACCATTATTTTCGAAATAAAATTGCATTATTTGCAAGCGTTGTTCAGGCGTGAGTCTATTCATGATGAATTGCCAAACCAAACTGAGAATAAATCACTTGACAGCTGTTAAATCGTTCGCCATATTGAACAGTAATGCCAACTTAAAGTTCTATACATCGAAAAAAAACACCCATTATATATTTTGCGTTCTGGGGTTTGAAAAATACGAAAACATCATGTCATACAAAAAAACACCCGCGTGTAGTGTCTGCGATTCTTTAACGATAAAAATGTCCATTTTAAAGACAAATACGTTTCGGGTCAAGATTTCGAAAGGAAACATTTTATTTTATAGCAAACATTAGGGATAATATTCCTGCGGGATCCAAAATGTTTTCCGCAAAGCCCAAACCAATTTGGTTATTTAAATTCGCGTTACAAGACCAGAATTCGTTCTATTTTTCCCGAACGTTCTTCGCTGAAAGTTTACGGAACTATTTAACATCGATGGTCCAGATGGAAAGCTATTCCCGTTTTAGTGAATCGAACAATCAAAAATATCGACACTTTTATGCCAAGCCGGCCCCATCTAGCTTAAAACGTAATATATATTCCTTCGCTTTATGGTCGGCTGATAAAATGAACAGCGGACCTCGCCTTCATTTTTTGACTTTCGCAAATAAGGCTAATTATGGCAATTTAAACGAGTATACCAATTAATATTGAAGCTCGGAGTTATTGTAATGCTGTATAAGGGATTATTAACATAGAGGCAGACAATAGAAAAATATTTTAATTGCGTTTTTACCTTACGAATTGGTGAACCATTTGCTTAATGGACATAATTAACCATTTTAAAGTTTCTTTTTACTTCTATTTTAGCGGAAATATAACAATGGCGGCGCGGTTTAATATATCTATTACAATGCACGGGCGGTAGGAAGTTTTTTTTTAATTTCCTAAATTACACATTAAAGGAAATTCCTTCAAAATTGTTCCGAAGTACAACGATTCTGTTGCACCAATCTACCACCCCACCCCAGTCAAAGTTCGGCAAAAGAGTTGGAACTTTAATCGCCTTTTTTTCTTTTCTGCCCGATCGGTAAAGTCACAAACGTTGTCGCCCCTAAAAGTTTTTTGCTAAATTTTTTATCATCGACCGATCTACCTACTTTTTTTAATTTTTGAAATATCGAAACGATTTTGAAACATATACTCACAACTTTTATAATAATATAATAATTTAAAGTTTTATAGGAAATAGTTTCTTTGAAAATTTCAATAACAAAATCAAAACATTAAAATTAACACAAATATTTATGCAAATTTTGATATTTAACGGTTAAATTAATGACAGCAAAAAACAGCAGCAATAACATTTAGGTATTTATTTTTCTTTTAAACTGATAAAATCGGTTAATAATAATAATAATAATAATAATAATCAGTTAAAACCATAAGGCTAGTTTCCATAACATTGCGATTCAACTGTATTTTGATTATTGCATTTTTTTTCAACTGTTTTAGTGGTGAAAGTTATTTGACAAATGTCACCATCTGATCGTAAATCAAGATTTAAGTATTAGAGCGTAACAGCATCTAATTTCGTCAGAAGTTTAAATATTGGTACGGTCCAAATCAATGATGCATCCCTAATTTGTCGTTGAGATTCATTTGTATTATAGTTGCGTCGTTTTTAGAAATATAAAAATTGAACTTGTGTTTCATAAAACTACTGATTTTTGAATATTTTTTCTGTAAAACGGCATTTTAATTTTACATTAATATAAGCATTTACAGTAGGATTTTGTGAAATTGATATCATGTGATAATTTCATGGTGTAAGTTAATTTAAAATTCTTTTAATATTTCATTTTCCAATTTTATACATTGAGACGGATTTAAGGAAAAAAAGACAAACAAATTATCATAGAAACAACTGACTTAAAAATGATCTATTTTTTTAAACGAATTTTTTATAGGTATTATATGAACTCAAACATCGTATCCATTATATGTACTAAAAATGTATTAATAAAACTATTTAGAACATGTTATCTTTTTTTATGTTACTCGATAACGTAAATATGAATTCAAATGATAAAACATTGAAAATATTCTATTTAATATTTTATAAGCATAATTAAAACAGAAAAGTAGCTCTCTAGAAATGAGAAAAAATAAACGGTGTGTATATCAAGCATGTAAAACATTTTTTTTTGTCATGCATCTAAAAATATTACAACATCGCAATTTAAATATTGGATTATTTAACAAAAATACGTAAATTATTCTTCAGTTTCTTTTACGTATTACTTATTATATTAAATAAAATATAAATTTACTTTGCGCAATTACATTTTTACAGTACACCAGATTTCACAAAAACATATGATTTCGCAGATTTCACTTATTTCACAATGATTTCACCGGTTTCAGATCTTACGGATTCTACAAAGATATACACATTTACATATACACAAAATACTTTTTAGGCTGTGCAGTGGTCAAACAGTGGCAAAGAGTGATTATAAATTAAGTAAAATTTGAAAAGTTTGTTTCTTTTTTTTTTTTCATGTTTAATTAACTTTTTTTTTTCATTTCATTGTTTAACACATTTCGACGATAATTCTTAATTTGCTGTCTATAAAAAAGTTACAATTATAGACAAATAGAAAATAATGCAGAGAAAATATTTCTATGAACTTTTTTTTATGCCTTATATCTTATAACCTTAAAAATGCAAATTGTTATTGTTGAATGCAACACACAAAAGGAGGATGATATTCTGGAAAAAAATGTCATTAGTGAATACTCCAAAAAATGCAAATGAAACCTATGAAATATCAATTGTTTGTAGTTAAATATGATTTTAGTAATGGAAAGTGCTAAAAACTCGAAAGTTTAGAAATATAATTATTTGTTGTAAAATTCGAGATTTTCTTTTTAGGTGTATAAATCGTCATGGAAAACCAGGAATTATTGTGTTTTTCATGCGTTACCCAATTCTCGGGAATTTTGAAACCTACACACGGTTTCAGCAAATATTTGATCATGTTATCAGCTAATTAGTAAACTTGGACGACGTTTCGCCTTGCGAAATATTTTTTGGTGGCATTACAGTCCTTGATTCTGTGACTGCTGGCAGCGCCACCGATAAGCGGAATAAAGTATAGCAAAAAAAGGGCATTTTATAAATTTGATTAATACGAACGAAACACGCGATCAAATTTGTGTTAAACGCCATCGGAACGCTGTGCGAGGCTTTCCCTTTGTGGAGGGAAAATGGAACGCTTCCTTCCCTAAACCAATAACTAGGACGCTCTCCATCGAAAAGAATTTCTAAAATCCCTTTCCGTTCGTTCTTTTTGGCTAATAACGGTTCCAGGCGCGCACAAACGGTTCATAAAAACTACGATAAGTTCCACATAAACAAGATAATTTTATCGGTATCCCGTAACCTATGACTGATGACAAAATGTTATTTAAATAAAATTAGATTTCAATAACGCTATTTTGTGCACTTATACCACGACGATATCGATAGAAGCGGAAATTTATTTTGTGGAGCTTTGAAGCGTTGTTCAAAATGGATTGTCCGATTTAATAGGAGTTTTTTTGTAACCCCTCCTCACGACGTATATTTAACCTATGGGAATACTGATTTGATGGAGGCTTTTTTACTTTTCGAAGACGTCACAGTTATTACATGGAATTATGTGATATCATTTTTATTTCGATGTCGAATTGGCGTAGAAGTGTAAGAGAATGGAGTTTGTTCTAATTTTTTTTGAATATTTTGGCATGGCAGCGAGAATATACTTTAAACATTAATACTCCCCCACTAAAGCAAATTGGGTTCTTTCGTTCTATTTGTCCCTTTCTTAACTGGACACCAATTTTTCATTAACTTCGAGAGCTTGAATGTTACTCGAAACAGGATTCAAGCTTTCTATCTCTATATCTACCCAAAAACTAGGTACTATTTTGTTATAAATATACAACGTTTTCTTTCTATACTGGCACAAAAATTATACTCATTACTGTAATGTGCTAAATCAGTGAGCACTATTCAGTGACTTCCAAATTTGCAAAACTATAGGGGTGGTTTTGGTAAATTTGAGAAAGTTTACTTAATTTAATGTGTTTTTTTTTTGTTGCGTCGCTGGATCATTAAAAAAAACCTCTTGAATCATTTTGGTAATGTGGTTTATTTTGATTGGTTTCAGGGTGACTGACATGGCCTGGCATGGTAAATTTCGGCCTGGTCTGCTACTGCTGCTCATTTCGTTCGTTGTTATATCGGAGGCAACGGCCAAATCGTTAGGTGAGTCATCGAATATATATTTATTTTACAATATGAAGAAACATTTATAATTATTGTATTTGTACGGTCGTCGCAGATACTTGCTAAATTTGTTGGAAGTTAAACTCCTCAAGCCCCGTACACCCACACACGTCGAAGCAATTAAAAGTGACGTTCGCTAACCAACTATTAGGGGTTAGAGTTAAGAGTATTTTGAGAAACAACTAACTTGAGACTTCGCAGCTATGTTTAGAGTAATTTTAAGTGACTGGAATAATAATTGGGATACGGTCTTTGTGGATTTGGCCGTTTGGATATTACCGGAGTGTGTTTCGTAACGTACGTAACCTAAAATACTTAAATCAAATTTCTCTACCTGAGATACGGAATTTTTTATTTTAAGTAGGCAAAAACGATTTTATCCCATTGTTTTGGCTCCTCCCAAATTTTTTACGTACCTACTTGCCGAGCAGTTTACGTGCATTGAGTGGAAGAAACGGTTTTCTACTTTCTTTTTAACGGCACTCTTATAATCATCATTTCCGTAAGTTTTTTTTTTCGTTTTGAATGTTATCCTTTTGGATCGATGCGGTAGAGTAAGTAGGGTTGAAGTTGAATGAATATTACGATAGGGAAAAACTTTGCCCTCTATTCAACGTATTGTTTAATATGAACAAACAAAAAAAAAGTGCAGATAATATATAAACAGTTTTTAATGAACCGCTTTGTATAATACATTTCCTGTGCGAATTTGTGACGAACAAATTTAGATATGTCACGGAGGAATAAGATCGAACATAGCAGTCGGAGAAACGCACAATACGTCTTCTTGTTCTCGGTCCGTCACACTTTTGCGCTTTGAAAAAAAGAAACCAAGGTAACATTTTTCTTATCTTATATTTCCTACCATTGAGAGTGAAAATTCAATTTCCCCAAAAGATGTAGTATGTTTTGCAAATAAAATATACCCTCGGAGCCGAATTCGATTTGATCGCCAATTGTATACCTGGGATACACTCATTCGGTCGAAAAAAGACATACCGTAAATGTAAAATGGAATTTCGTGTAAAAGATGTAATCATTTCACTGGTTGTTTGTTTTCCAGTAACATAATTGCAATGCGATCGAAATAGATATCGAATACATTCGTCAAATGCGAATACATCAACCGGGCTCCAAAATACATTCATCAAATTCATCAAAACCATAATTAGTAATAACCTATATTTCAGAAATATCAGTTCAAAATGTGCCCCAACAATGAAAGTATTTCTATAATAATATCTCGTATTACTCCATTATTTATATTAATTATATTTTAAAAATTTCTCAGTACTTTTAATAACCATAAATCATAGAGTGATAAATCACCCCATGGTTAATTGAGTATATAGCTGTATTTGGTATTTAAATTCAATTTGGTAGTTGTGGTTGTTTAAACATTCCAAATTCGAATTTAATTTTAGTATGATTCCAAATTTGACGTAAAATAAAGTAATGAGCCATTTACGAAATTGTGGACATTAAATAATAAGTGAAGTGATAAAATTTTACCATTATTTTTACTTTCATTCTTTTTTTTTCTACCAGTTTGCGCAGATACAATTATTACTTTTACATATTTTTATTTAATTTATAGTCACTGCAATTATCTACACGCATTTCGCACCTATATCTCAACTAACAAATAAAAAATATAACTGCCACGTCTCTCAAAAGCTTTGTGAGCTTTTTGTCTTAAAATTTACCAAAGAATCGCTATTCAAAGTCGAGCCACATACTTAATTGACACCCTGTATAGTTAGCGAATTTTTTATTCGGTTATCATAGTAAAAACTTTTCAGCGAGGCAGTTTGATTGATTATTACGTAAAGGGCTTTGCATTTTAAATTGGTCGCTTCCTTCTCCCAGCAATTTCCGATAGCGTACGGTTTATTTTTTCATCCGTTTTCGTTATAAATAAGCTCCAGTTGAATAAAACCTACGTTAAAGTAGACACATATAAATAATTGGGTGGAGGGGGGAATTTTAAACCAGGGATACTAGGGACGTCTAAACAATTAAAAGATTAATATTCCGTATTAAGTTTTCAGAGCTATCGATTGGGGACGTCATGAAACCTGTACGTGTGGTTAACCCACATCATACAAATAACAAGAACAAATAAAAATTTTACGCGTTTCAGATATTTACAAATGATTCTATAAATAAAATTTTATTTATCGGTCATGCTTTTGTTGGCTTTTTTTTTTTCAAATCGAAATTCGATTTTGAGATAATTGAATAAGAATGATACTACAATTTTATTTTCGTATGTTGTAAAAGTTTCGTTAGGATTTAATTGCAAGTAGGTAGAGACGCTATTGAACTAAAAAAAACGTAGGTATATTTTTTGTAGTGGCCATTCGATATCGGTTAATAATGTATAAGCGGTTTTACGTCAATATTGTTGGTTTGATGGAAGCCATAAGACATAACATTGGTAATTTTGCTTTTCCCGTATCGGTCTACTCAGGATATTAAAGAAAGCAATTCTCTTTTAATCAATATTCTGCCTCCGATAATACTTTTGGTTTACAGTAGGACCTCGATTATTCGGGCTGGGGATTATCCGTACCATGATTTGCCATTACATATTAAAATTGTATTTTTGCATTTGTATTGACATAGAGCTCCAACCGTACAATCATCCAGTTTACTGTTAAAACCAGCAAGCCATTTAGATAACTTATTTTCGTTCCATAAAAAGTTCATTCCCCGTTCTCATCTCAATGAGGCAACCTTAAGATAGGACGAAAAAACTTCTTTGTTAGTTTTATCCAACCGTATCTTGCTTCCATTACTCAGCTGATGGATCAATGTGTTATTGAAGCAATAAAAAGCTTCTATCGAAAAGAACTTATAAAGAACTTGTTGTTGAACACGATCAAAAAATGACTTTTAAAAGAGTTTTTTTACAAAATAACGACGCTAGCGGAAGATGACAGCATCGTGGAATCTGGCGATAAAGAAACGACCATAACAGGATTGACAGCACTGATGCAAAGAAATTGATGAAACAGAAGTTGAAAGGTGGACTCGGTGGTACCAATAAAGAACCAGGTTAAAATTATGAGTTTTGAATCAGCCCCGGTATGTTATAACCCAATTTATCCGAAAATAAGTGCCAAGACGAAGAAAATGAAATATTGATTTAAAGAGTAGCTCCGAGAGACTGAAGAACCTGCGTTCTACTAGACCAGATATTTCGATATTACGCAGATTACGCTAGGTGGTTAAAAAAGATCGAAAAATGTCAATACAAACTAAAGTGACTTTTTCGATGAATGTTCGGATTATCCGGGCATTTCAGTTACACTAAACTCGTCCCGCGGAGCACGGATAATTGGGGTCCTACTGTATTTCTCAAATTTTTTGCTAATTGCATTCGCGCATCTATCTAGTCGAATTAGTTTTGAAATTTCAAAACCATTTAATTCCTTTTCAGTTTCAATTAACTCTATGTGTGTGATTTGCCCCCCAAAAACGTAATGGAAGAGAATTACTTGGCCCAATACGTATCTATTGCCTCTTTTGTTCTTTTTAATTGCATTGACGTTTTAAGTGTTTCAATTACTCACTCGCGTGGAATTAAAATTGATGGAAACGTCGTTTTTTTTACTCGTGACTTGTTCTCCCTTTGGCGTTTAGAGGTTTTCCAAAATGAACTAAATATCGTTTCAAAAACTGTAGCAAATAATGAAGGCAGGCAAATAAAAACGGCTTAAAGTTTTTAAATGCATTTTAAGTACATTTCGTTTCAGAAAAGAGTCGTTAAAAATTTCCAAGTCGGATTTTCAACTTTTTATTAAGAATTAATTTAGGCAAATATATAGTTTCCGCTCCTAATTTTCAGAAAAAAACCGTTGCCTTAGAAATCAATTCTGTTCGTTTTAGACGAGAATTTTTCAACTTTTGGCCATTTCGCTCCGTTTCATTATCAAAAGTTTTAATTAACATGACTTCGAAGTTTGCAAACATGTTGAAACCGGCAATAATATTATATAGTTATTTTTATCAATGCGTCGAAACATGGTGGGTAATTTTTGTTTTCGACATGTTTCCGAATTTCGTACAAAATGAAATTTTAGAAACTAGTTTCGCGTGGTCTTTGGAGTGGAAGGGAATTTTTCCAGAAGTAATTCAAACTTTGGATGAGTTATTTTTACGGGGTGTCCGAACCAAATCTGGCCGTAAAAACAACTTTTTTCGTAATGACAATAGTTTCGAAATTCCCAAAAACGCCTTTTTATTTTAATTATTTTTAACTATAAAGTTCGTAAATTCAACCACAATACATAATTTTTTTTTAAGGAATTTTGTATGAGAAGCTAGAAGAATGGAATTGGTTTGTGTCGTATTACTCAATTAAAAGAGGTTTCTTGCTAAGACCAACTTTCTGCTACCTCTAGTTTTGGAAAATGTTCAAAAGAGACAACTTTTAAGGTGTTAAGAAGTTTTCTGGAATATCTGGCTTTCTCTTAGTCACAGAAAAAATATAAAAACGCCGTGTATGTAAAAACTTTGTTTATTTTATTCACATAAAAATTTAGGCATGCAGGACTAACCAAAAATCGTCTTGATATGCTGTTTACGGTCCCTGTTTTCACAATTTTGATAAACACCGAATTCATATTCGTGTCTGAGGTTGTTTTTTAGGATTCGAAAATTCGACAGAATTAGTCACATGCTTCAAAAAGTTAATTGACTAAATTTCAAAAGTAGAATGTTTCTTCATTCTGCAGCTCTGTACGCCAAAAATACTAAGTTGAAAATCTGCGCCATATAGTTTTAATAAAATAAGATATCGCTTGAAATACATAACGCTTACTCCGCCAATGCATTCAAAGGAAATTTTTAAATGCTCTTTTTCATGTTTAAATAATTTACCAAAACTAACCAAAACTACTGCCAAATGGAATGAAATATTATTATACTAATCCTGGTGGCCTTTTTGTCAAAATGATAATTTGTTATTTTTA